GTATCTGCTGTGTTTCTGAAAACATACCTTTCATCTTGAATTAAGTCACAGAATCAATACACTCAAGCTATATGTATTTATATTCTTTTAAACAGTACATAATTCTAACTAATATGTAGATTAATCTGTAAATGGATTACAGGGTAGATTTAGGAAATGTTCTTTCCTACTGACACAGCAAAGTAATGGAAGAGCCTCCTTTTAACATTACTGTCAGTTTGTGAATGTCTTGTTCAGTTGATCTGACTATGAAAATGATACTGTAATCCAAAGAATATTCTCTCCATTTGCTGAAGTAAAAAGCCCTTTTACAATTTTACTTAAACTATGATGGTATAAACAGACACGATTTTCTTAATGAGTACAACATTTCATTGAAATAATAACTGGAAATACTGTACAACACATTTTCACATCTATTATAAAGGCATTATTTGAGTTGTAGTTGACTAAAAGGAATTTCAAAAACTATGGTTTAGTGTAAATATGTCTTGAATGCATCCCAAATGTAAGCTGGAGGGGAAAAAAAGCTATGATAAATGACTTCAAATGGCTTTACATACACAGCTTGCTTTCTATATTATAATTAATGCTAATAATAAGCAAGCCTCTCCAAAAAGAAGGCTTGCTCTATAGCTAAATATTTCAATACATATTTTTCATCTATTTTCTGTCAAAGCAATTTTTTAAAGGAAATGAAATATTTAAATTGTATTAAAATACAAATATCCAGTTTCACATCTCCTTAGGCTTATGAGTACAATTTGCATGTAATGATAAAATTAGAACTGCAGGCTTGCATAGTTTTTTTACACTACCCCACATTTGATATTAAAATAATTTCAGTGTATTTTAGACAATAATTTAATTTTATTTATTTATCAATACATTGTAGGAATGTGAAAGTAGAGAGAAGAAGCTTATCTGCCTTTTTAGAAGCTTATTTAATTCTATTTACTTTCTACTCATTAGCAAAGCTGAAGTTTTAGGAAACCAAATAAGTACAGGAGGTTCAGTGCCTTCATTAAGCACCACAGTCTAACACATTAGGAAGTGGGAGTGGGGGAAAAAAAAAAAAATCACTGTTAGTTTTTGTTTTTCTCTGCAAGTCTGTGAGCACCAGTATGGTTAGAGCACTTTGCAAATGCTTTATTTACCTGAGAAGAGGTTGGCTCTGTGTGCTAACAAGGAACACCAGTTCTGGTATACCAATCTAACCTGGTCACTGTCAGCTTCCAGTGTCAAAATCAATTAAGCAGCTCACATATAACAGAAACTGAGCACAGAACTTTTTAAATTATGACAGTGTTGCAAAGCCATTTTTTCATTCAGACCATAAGTGTGAAACGACAGCATACCAGAAAACTAAAAAAAAAAAAAAAAAAAGAGTAGAAAGTAAATAGAATAAAAAAAAAAAAAAAAAAAAAAAAAAAAAAAGTATGGACTTTCTGATTTTGTACAAAACATCTTACAGATATAGATATATATATCCCAATTTTACATCCTCCAGAACACAGCCAGACTAAAGGAATCCCTTCTCCCACCCACAAGTTCCAAACCAAGCTTTCCTCCAGTGAGCCAGCCAGCTGTCACATATATTCCCTCTTCCAGACCATCTGCTTTTTCTGAGAAAAAATAATTATATTTCATCTCCTGAACTAGCAACCCAAACCAATCCATGTTTCATCTGTTCCTTGTGGACCCCAAAGTTCCAACATCACACCTCAAAGAACACCTTTAGGTACTTTATCTGCCAAAAAACCTCTTGTGCATCTATCTTCTTTAAGTGAGTCATTAACTTCTGTCCTCAAACCCAGATGAAGATGGTGACTATTTATTTGAATGACAGGAGAGTTTACCAGCCCTTCTAGTCAACCAGTCTAGCTCCCTATCATACACCACGCCTCATTCACTGTACAGGAAAGGGTTATTGGGGTCCCAAATCAGTACCAAATTCTTCAATTAGGCTGAGAACCCTTTCTTCTCCACGGGAAAGCAAAAGGATCATCAAAGCTCAATTGTTATACATTTATATTTGCTGTTAATGCTGGAAACCCATGTGAGGCTGTACTAATCTGGGAAGACCTGATTTAGAAACACAGTGGGTATAACACCAGAGGAGCCACAACTCCATTTCCCATCACATGCCTGGGACACAGTACATATAGAGAGGAATTATGTGTATGCATAATTCTAGCCCCATGTTCAAGTTGGGCTTTTGGTTTTTTTTTTATTATTCCTAGAGGAGAACAAACTAGAGAAGAACTCTGCTTCAGGCAAAATTTCCCATTTGCCATCTTGGAAAGAGCAGCTTAACTTCCAGGCAGGTTATAAAGCCCCCAGCTTTTAACAGTGACACTGGCCCAGGCTGGCAGAAGCACATATCTCTGCAAGCCAGCAGCATCTCTGCTCCAAGCTGGGCTGCCAGGAGGCCAGCCTGGATAGCAGGCTCACCAAGGGCAGGGAGAACAGCCTGGCAGGGTGCTCAGGCTTCTCATTTATGGACTGCATGCCATTCCTTTGAGGAAGACACATCATCCAAGAAAGCCCAGTTTGAGCTCCCCAGGAGGGAAAGCCAGTGAAAGCTTTAGTGCAGGGGTACTTGCTGAGAAATTAGAGTCCTGTGGAAAATGCGCAGAGCATCTCCATTTTACTCCTGCACTGAGTGCCCATCAGCCTGAGTTACAAAGAAAGCAGCACAAAATAAGCTATGCTTTTAAAAATTAAAAATAAAGATGGGCATGTTACACATAATAAGGATACCACACCCTGAACATGCTGTTCCTCTAACATTTACAGTGAGCCCAAGGGACTGAATAGTAAGCCAATGCCAATGAATCTGCCATCACTTTTGTAGCAGCAGGATGAGATGGGAAGGTCTGAAATCCTGGATGCAAGCAGTTTTCACTACAATTTACTCAGTACAATTCAGAAATTGCTTTTCTCCTTGGAGGAAAGGAGGGGATATCTGCCTGGAGCAGTGAACCCTGCCCAGCCAGTCAAATCCTGCACCTGCACGTGCACCGGATCAGCTCCCACATCACACGGGAGGAAGGGAGGGAGAGGAAGGGATGGAAGCTCACAGCTTCCTGAACACATGCAACCCACTGCCCTGCCATGGCAGTGTGTGCATTTTCTCCAGTGAAAGTTGGTTACCTGAATCAGATAAACCGAGAAGCTATGACAAACCTTGCCCGTGTTCAGGATGCCTTCTTGATGACTGCTCCCAATGAAGTCAGTGGTCTAGCCGGGGACTTACCAGACACACCCACAATGAGGACTGTAGGTCTCTCATATCTGGGCATGGGCTGCCTGGACCCACCCCACAACAACCAGCAAAGTGCAGAACAGGGGGAAGCAGCACACTGTGATTTGCTATTGCCAGCACTAGCTGTAAGACATTCCCCACCCAGAAATAAAGGGCACATGAGGAATGACCTGGGCTTCTGCAATCTCTCAGGCGACATTTCTCTTTGCTGTCACGTCTAAAGCATGTCCTAAAGGTCTAAAGGCATATCCTTGTCTGAGGGCAGTAATTGCTGTGTTGTTCTGCTCAGGATGGGTGTAAGTAAATTGCTTGAGCTCCTGCTAAACTGAAGTCACTCATCTCCTAAATAGCAGCAATTGCTAAGTACCATACTTTTCAAAAGGAGAAGAACAGCTCAGTGCTGCTTTCCTTTCCATTTTTGGAACTGTAGTGTAATCTGTGCGGCTACAGAGCTGCAGCTGACTCCACAGCACCCTTTGCAATGACCAGAGTAGCAGCAAAAATACCCACTGAATTTTTTGAGTATCAGTCCCAACATTTTCCTCTCTATGCCCACATATCTGTAATCTTGTTTCTGAAACCTGAAACACAATAGAAATCTTCCCTGGTTTAAAATTTTCTTTGCTTGAGCACCTAAACTTTTAATTGTGTTTTGTGGATACAATTCAAAGATATATAGAAATTCTCCCAGATGTCCATTGCCAGCAGGTCAGCTGAGAAGCAATTTAATCTTGGGGAATTAGGCTGGCTAATTGCCCTCCTCCCTTCTTTACACCTACTGAAACAATTACATATCTAACTACACCAGACCAGACCCTCTACACTCCAAACAGAACAGCATGAAGCTCTGAAAAAAACACCTCATCTTTCTCTTTTCCTTTGTACAGCCTTATTTCAGTAGGAATGAAGTTGCAGATGAGCGGAAAAGTATTTCTTTTCTAAAGCACATGTCTTTTTTCTACCGTCCAGTGAGCAGAAAATGGAATAAATTGCATATACAAAATGGCAAGAGACATGAGGACTAGGTGGGATTTTCGTTGTTTCTTGCAGTTATTATCATCTGCACCTTTAGATGAATATGCAATCAGAATAGAAACCTTTACTAGGAGAAAAAATTAGGAGACATTGTCCTATAAGCAGAGCAGTCAAGTTTCAGTGCATTTTCAATCTAGTTATTAACATCTGAATAAGTGCTTTCAGAAGCATTAAACAGAGTGCTGCTTTCTTCAATGTAACTTTTGATTGAAAACACAATTTAAAAGAAAAAACCCACACACTGCTGAATTCCCTATCCAGGCCATTCTTTTTAATTCATGCTGAAAAGTTTCAGCCAATACTTGCATCCAAATATACCCAGAGAGAAATAATTTAAAGATAATTTAGTGTAAGTACTTGAAGTACTCATATGCTTTATACATTATTTAAGTACACCGTAAAACCCAACAATTTGGTAAAAAGCATCCTGAAATCATCTGCTATATCCTATGTGTATAAGATATTAATAACAGCATCTGACAGTTAATGACAACATAATAATTTAAGTGTGTTGACAATTATTGACCTGAACGCACTTTAGAGAAATGTAAATGCCAGAGGAGAGCAGCTACAGCTCCATGACTAATGTGTGCCCTGGATTCTGACCATCAGCTTTGCTATTTCAGTTTTGTGACCTAAATCACCCTCCCCTACCCAAAAGAAACAAAAAAAAAACAAAATAAGAAATGTGTCTTACTTGTTCTGCTTTCTCCAGTGCTTTTCTATCCGCCTGCAAAAACTGGCAGTTCTCTCTGGCCAGCTTTTGGACCAGCTCAATTCGTCCGATGTCATCTCTTCCCTGAAGCTTGCATAAAACTCCTGCCTTAAGGGTGGGAGAAAGAGCAAACAGATACTTAAATCCACAATCCCAGGACATGACACCAGCACAAATTTCAACCTTAAAAGAAACGCATCTGTTTTCTCATATTTGCGGTACTTCGGTGCCACTTGCTGAGCACAAACAAGTCACCGCTTCCCGGGAAACAACTGGAGAGGAACAGAGGCACATCTGAATCTCCAAATGCATCTACTCTGGAGGAAAGAAGGCAGGGCTAACTAAATCAACCGCTCCTCTGAGTGCAACTATCAGATATGCTGTGTTTTATTTGTTCCTGTCAGCCCGTTTCCTGTTACATAAGAGAACAAGAGCAAGAGGTTAAAAACTCATGGGAAAGTTAACCAGGAACAGCCCTGGAAAAAGAATGAAGTGCAACACAAGGCACTCCTAAAAATAACAGGCTACAACTCCCTCTGCTCCCGCTCCAACCATTTTTCACATATGCAAGACTGAAGAGTTAAAAGACAGTTGTGCTACATTTATTTATTCCATAAATAACAAATCTGTATCTCTTGTTTTGTTTAGGGAAGGAAATGATACTTGCTTTAAAAGCTATGTTAGAACTATTTTTTTGGCTAAATCTGACAGTTATTCAAGCTATGCTGATAGTGTTTTGTCAAAATATTCAGCACTGGTTGTTTTCTAAAAATGCCAGATAGATACATATAAAAAGATGGATTTATGCTTACACACAGGCACATAGAGACTCATTGCAAAGTTAGCTGATATGGGCTAAACTGCTCCTTGCAAAGCCAGCAGCTGGTATCACTGTCCATGATTTGGGTATGGATATAGCCTCTGCGTGACCGAGACCTGGGGCGACGATACCGTGCAACTTTTATTAGCCCAGATGTTTCCTGATGGGAACAGCAGATGCTCTGGGAGGGCCCATCATGTGGCATAGCTATGAAATGGCCATATCACCTCAAAGGCAATCTGCAAATAAACATTTTCCCCCCATTTCCTTCACGGTTTTCTTTCTACTGCTCATCGTGAGTTTAAATTAATCACTACCTACTCCAGAATTCTAAACATATCTTGTGTGTCAGGCCCTAAAACTAGGGATACCCTGACTTGCTAACCCTACAGGGTCCAATCCTTTGGTCTTGAGCAATTCTGTCCATGACAGATGTCCATGACAGAGTGAGAGTGCCCACTCAAATCATCCTACATTCTGCTAGTTTCTCCAATGAAAAGAGAACTGGGGGTTAAGATTTCTTCATCTGAAGGAGAAAGCAAATCTACTTTATGAATAAGTTCGTGAATGCTGATGGAAAAAAAATAGGCTCCATGACCAAGTCCAGAGTCATCATTGAAAGAAATTTGTACATGCCTACATTCTTCTAGGTGGGATGAAGACATCTCCTGACAAGTCTGCATCAAACACTTCTGCTCTGATGAAGTAAAGGATTTCAGATACAGCCCATGCCTTCAGTATCCTGTGCTCCTCCTGAGCCCAGCCTCCTGAGGAACCCAGCTTCCCCATATAAGGAGACTGCTCACTGGGCAGAAAGGTCAGAAACCCACCAAGAGAATTATATTGCCTAATCTCAAATTCCTTGCATAGTCTGTGAGTCTAGTGCCTTATCTTCTAAATCAGACATTGGTTTATAAACCAGTTCTGACACTCTTATCCCCTGCAGATCAGCAGTATGACTGATTTTATCAAATGTGGAAGAATATAGTGAGCTAGTTGTCCAGACTTCTTTAATCAATGGAGAAAATAGATATTTAGGAAGAGGATTTTTTTGTTGTTGTTTTGTTTTGTTTTTTTTACTCTACAATAGACATTTAAAAATGGTCAGATCAATTGTTTCCTAATGTTCTCCTTCTTCTCCAGTAATTTACCCAGGGAACCTAAGGCTTGGGAGGCCTGATGTCTGTGCTTCCAACACTTTGAGTGCTGGGGGACATCAACTAAATCAAGCCTGCTTATTTCATGGTTGCAGGATGCTTCTAGCAAGAATATTACATCCGTGTAATGTAGGCTAAGGACAACTTCAAAGTGTTATCACCTACTAGGACTTAAGTATGATAAAGATTTGGAGTCTCTCTGGGTCTGGGATCTTTGTACTGTGGAAGCACTTTTTGCACCTTCCTGTAGTGCTGTCCTGGTTTAGGAATGGCACTCCCCAGTTTGGTGCTCACATTGAGATGAAATTAGGTGCCACTTGTTCCCTTCTCCTCCCCCTCCTCCTTCAGGTAGCTAGAGAGGAGAATTGGAGGCACAAAATATAAAGATCAGAGGTTAAGATGAGAACAATTTACCAAAACCAGAAATGAGATAAGAAAGCAAACAGTAACAGCAACAATAATAATGACATATAGGGTACAAATAAGGAATGATTCACATGGAAACCCCTCCACAACAGACAGTAACCAACCAATCCCTCCTCCAGAATATCCCAGCTTGGAAGAGAATCCCTTCCCCTGCCCCATCAGTGATGTGAGGTGATACAGATTAACCTCTGGTCCTGGCTATTGCAAAAACTAACCCTGTCCTGGCTGGAACCAGGACTTGTGTCCAGAGAAAGTAGTCCATGACCTACAGGTGGAAGAGATGGTTATGAGTCCCTGCTGAACAAATATTGATCTTCAGAGTGTGAAGCAAAACCCAGTGGTTAAAACCATTATGTTATGTTAAGAAGAGAAAGGAGGGCTTCAGTTTTGGGGCAAGAGTTGTCTTCAGTATGTTTAAGTGGGAGAAACATCCAAGAGAAAGGCAAGGTTTTGAACGTTGGGTCTCGCTCTCTTTCACCACTTGCCCTCCACCTGTGTTCACACAGAGCATGTGCTGCCTTCCACATGGATGAGCACCCCAGAGGAGCAACTCTAAACACAAGCCCATTAGCCCTTGCACAAACATGGTCTGTATTCAAAACAGCAATCTTATTGCAGAATCACATTGTCCTGTTTCAACCACCAAGTAGAAATACTGTTTTTTAACATGTCCCCTCCTCCTGTCGCTGTTCTTTAATTTAAAGAGTTGCAGAGAACATGAAAAAAAAAATAATTATTTAATTTGGTTTCCAGAGGATAAGGAATTTATGGGAGGGCTAAGATATTATTATCTTATCTTATTAATTATAAGATATAATTGCATATGTTTGGCTCTGGGAGTAAAGAATGCACCTGAAGCACAAAAGGCTAAACATGATTTTTCATAATTATGAAAAAAGCTATGAATCCTTTACTTCTAATTCTGGCTTCCTCACTTATGATGACTTTACACCACAAATCTTTCTGTTAAATACTTGTAAGAAAACATCCAGGTCAATTAAATTATTTATTGATGACAGCTTCTAAAATCCGGTTAGGAGAGTACTGACAGTCTCCAATTACTGGTCATTTTCACTTCTCAATACAAATTTAATTTTCAGGCAATGTTTTGGAAGCTGTTAAACAACAGGATAAAGGCAAGTCACAACTGCAAAGAACAATTTTGATTTTCATTTTGTGCAGGCACACATCCTCCAAAACTCTTGTTGATGCTTGGACCTCTAATTCATTTGGACCAAAACAGATACACTTACTAAAGCACATGAATGTGAAAATCAAAAAGTTGCATAGTTTAATTTGCTTTACCTTAATGAATGATAAAAGAATGTACCTTATAGTAAAACTTTACTACCATTCATGGCTCAAAATTGCTATAACTGTGTTTATGTAATACTTGAAATGAAATTTTAAGAAGTTTAATGGAAATGAAAGCAAATTACTCACTACACAGGGTGGAAAAAGGAAGATGCTGACAACATACTTTCTGTTTCAGCATATCCATAGGAAAATATGCCCTCTGCAGAGGTCATAAATGAGCATCATAGCAATGACACAGAGGTGAATTAACACATCCTTAGGAAGACAAGATGGGATCTTTTATTTACATAATTTATGTTATTTACAGCATGATTGCTTCTGCAAATCCCCTTGCCAATCTTTTTTCACACTTTTACCAGTTTTGTCAACTAACTCAAGTGTAAATCAAGCCACTCTCCCACAGAGCAGTGTTTAGAGCAGGCACAACACCCTTCAATTCTATTAACAGGTTTGTGGTGGCTTGGTTTTCTTTCACTGTATCTCTCTTTCTGTAGCTGGTAAAAAAAACCATAATTATTACTGGCTTCACCTTTAATTAACCTGAGAACTTAAAACTATGTGCCAGAGCCTCAAAAGACAGGATCCCGTGCTTTGCTCCAGTCATATGCATGGTCCCACTAAAGTGAAAAAACACATTCACTCCTTTAAAACAAATTGTATCTGGCTTTCACTGGATGTCATTTTTATGGTCCTAAAAAACTGGAGCAACCACTGCTTTGATAACACTCCTGCTTTTGTTAACTGCTCATTTAATAATTGTATAATTTTAAATGTGTTTCATATTCTTTCAAATCTTAGAAGCTGGTTTACAGCCAATTAAAATCTGGGTGAATCAATACCCCAATAATAAATTTTTATGGGCTTTTATAATTATTCCAAGTAATTTTATTAGCTGGCTACTTAGGAGCTTTCTTCATACATTGGCTACATCATAAATGGAAACAAACATTTTCAAAGAACTGTAATAACTACAGCAACTAAGTAGAACTTAGAATAGATTAAATCCTTCCTCTCCATCCTCCCCCCCAAAAAATCCAACAAAAAAACAGAGAGCCAAATTTTTTTGTGCAGTGAGGTCAGTGTTTCCCTCTGGGTCCTTTCTACATCTCTGTAATTCACTCTTGGTTACATGGCTTGTACCCTTCCAGCTAGGCTTGTTCACAGACATCAGCATAAATCCTGTCTTCCTTGCACACAACTTTTCAGTTTGGCAAGATGCTAGGGAAATAAATCAGAGGCAGGAACTGCAAGTTGCATATAGGGGAAGGAGAAAAGGTGGCAACTGGTGGGGAATATAACATTTTCAAAAGAAATAGAAGGAGAAAAAACCAGTCAAGACTGGGAAAGATTAATTTTAAATTAAAAGCAATAATCAGTACCAGTACAATGAGCAACACAGTTACACTTGCACAGCTTGAACGCATGAATGGAATGATTGAAGGGATTGCAGATTAATCAAAAAAGATTCACAGAATTAAAAAGGGTAAGCAATCCCACAATAAAACACCCTAAAAGGCAGTTTAGTTGCTTCTGAGCAATATCCAGAAGTGTGCTTTGGTTGTAAATGAGGGCAGTTAAGGAAAGAAAGAAGAAGGTTGCTGCTTGCACTTGAGTGACTAATAAGTATCCCTATTTCATTGCATGTCTACTTACAGTGATTAAAATTCAATCAAAATGTCATATGCCCTTGCCTCCTAAAACACATCTCATTTTCCTTTCACATCTTGTATATGCTATGTGTATTATCTAAGAAGAGCAGAAAGATAGCTGAAGAATGCTGTCCAATTGCAACATCATGGGATTAATTCCCAGAGTAATCATCAATCTTATTCTAGTCACATAAGATGAGATCTAGCAGACTTTCTCCCTCCTACATGCTCCCTGCACAGAACATAGAGGAAAATCCATTTCCCAGAGCTATTGAAAACAGTTCTTCTACTTGTAGATCTGAAAACATTCCCAAGATTCCATTAATCTTACACATGTACCTGTGCATCAGAGGTATCCTTGAGCTCTTCTAGTCCTCTTATTTCTTGACTGCTGTTTTCTTCATTTTGATGAATTGCTAAAATAAGAAAGAGGAATATGTTGGAAGCAGGCAGGCTTAAATCACAAAAAAAACAGAAAAACAGCATGGCCCACAAAGAGGATAAGCATTCAAGGAATGTTTAAACTTTAGCATTCTAGTTAACTCCTGGAGTGGTTTTGAACACACAGATCCTATAAGGCACACATTATTGGGTTTGGAAAAATGTTAAATAAAGTATACTTTATTTTTCCCCAGGCAGTAAGATCCAGTACTAAATAGTTATAGTCATGCTACTGTTAGTCCTGATAAAACAATGACATTTAAGGAAACTCCACTTTTCCATACATTGTAACGAGATATCATGACTCATAAGCAATAAAAAAATAAGGTCTCCCTCTTCTTCCATTATATTGCAGAAGGTCAGGTCAGACTAAACAAAATAAGCATATTTATCCTCACCTCAGACTTGGAAAAGTCCCTTTGCTTCATAAGCAAAGTGATTCCAATCTCAACAAACATCACCATGGAAGTCATCTCCAGAAATAAATGGCAGCAGGAGATGTTTTATCAAAAGTTCTGTGCTGCTGGCACAATAGAAGAAACCAGCAACGCCACCCAATGAACATGAATTAAATCACTTAAAACTAGCAAGTTTTGCTAAACTTTAAAGTTTTGTATCAAACTTGCAGTCCCCTGAAGGGTCAAAACCAGAGATAGAAGTTTATCCAGCTAAAGAAACAGGGAACTTCTTATGGAAGCCCACTTCAGACTTCTGTATTGCAAATGGCTTCATCTACAGGCAGTTTTACTATCTATACCCCAAGTGACCCTTTCAGCCAGCACAGCCACCTTCTGTATTTTGGTGAGACATTGAGCCCTCAGATGTTCTGAAATGTCACACATGGCAGGTTGGGAGAGTCAGACCCAACAAAACACATGCAGAGTGACCTTACCTTATACTGTACATATCAACTTAGAAGAACCACACTCAAACATCTTTGATTATGAGTACATATTGAGTGATTTCCTGGTTTAGCCACAGCCTTTGTGACACTAGAAGTGTCCTTGAAGCAACAGAGCTGTCACATCTATTTCCTGAAAAACACCTCATGGCTTTGATGGATGGGTGGGAGGGCTGAGCTGGTGTGCCTCCTCCTGCCCATCTGCTCTCTCCTTCACCCCTGTGTACCTGAGCTGCTCATCAGGCTGTACCTGAACAGCCACAGCCCACAGCACAGTGTATTCAGACAAGGATCACCAGTCCTTGAAACCCTGCCTGCAAGCTGAGGCAGCCCAGAATTTGATTGATGAGCAAAGGGAGCAGGAGAAGGGCTGGCAGGCAGCAGTACAACCTTACCCAGGCATCCTCACCTGTGCCATCCTCAGCCTGAACCTTCAGACATAACCAGGTTACCATGGCCAAGCTCGCACACCTAACGTGAGCCATGAAGTCCAGCTTGGTATGTCTGCATGGGTGCTCTGGGTCTGCTGTAGACAAAAAATCAGCCTAACATTTAGGCAGCATCTAGCAACTTTAAAGAAAAGTAATTTGGGACTGTCCTTGACCTCTAAAATAAATTGTATGGATTTATTTTTTTCTTACAGCAGGATTGCTGCTGATATTGCTATGCCATATAGGATATAATTTTGTTTCTTCCCCCACAGTTATGCTATCCAAAAAAAAAAAAAAAAACTAATAAAAATGTAATTATAAAAGGGGAAATAAGTCATTCTGTCAATACAGTTTATTCTATTACAGGATCTTTTTAAATCCATTATCAAAGGAGAACAGAGTTCTGATATAAATCTTCACCATAGGGTTTGCAGGCATCACTTTACCAGCAAACCTCTGAAATTCAAGGTGAATACTGAAAACAAGGGGTCAGACTACTTCTGCAGCAGACAGCATGTATAATGGGCATTAGATCCCAGCATATTTAAAGCTAGGCAAAAACAAAATCCTCTTGGGATGTTGTGGCATATCTCTGCCCCAGCCCAGAAAAGGAGAAGCACAAGGACCCCAGAGAGGGATGGCCTGAGCAGCCACGTGTGACCCCTGCTCTAGTGCAGGGCAGGCTTTCTAAAGGCAGCCTACTTTATCCAGCCAGGCTGGGGGCTCTGTGCAGGACCTTCCCGTGTAACCAGCCTTCCTCCCCAAGAGCTGCCTCATCCTCTTGCACAGTCCTGCACACCCATGGCCCTGCTCTACCCACTGCCACTGTGGGACACACACAGCGTGCAGGACATCGACCTGCTGAGCACTACAGTACAGCCCTCCTGGGACGGGAGTGCTGCAATGCCGGAAGGCATTAACCAACCCCAAAAATCGGTTGTTTGTGCAATTCCTCAAATTGTTAGGTCTGCGTTAGCAGAACATTTCCCCAATTCTCCTTTCAATTTTCTGATTTCTTCTAAAATCAATTTGCTGTAGGCATTCATGAGCAAAATATCCCCCCCACAGACTCTGGCTATTAATCATGGCATTTAAAGGAGTGGCACCTCACTAGTAACAAGACCACGAGTCCAGGTTTAAGTGATTTACATTGATCCAGCCAGCTTTTCCACAGTCCTGAGCAGATGGGCGCTCCCAAACAGCTGTGCCGGGGGAAAAGGTCAGTGCCTGCCAACTGGCTCTTGTCACAGGCCTCCATTACAAGTGTCCCCTTCCCTGCCCAGTGCCAGGGCAAACACCCCAGAGCACCTTCAGCCCAAGGGAGCAGGCAGACATGCAGGGAGCAGCACCTCTTGCTGACCTGGCTGGGCAGGCAGGTTAGAGGGTGGATGGTGTCTGGGCAGGCAGACACTGACAGGCAGCAAGTACCCACAACTGACGGCAGCAAGATCTCTTCCCTGGCACAGAGGGATAGAGGAGGAGAGTGCATGTCCATAACCCCCAATGAATACAGATATCCTTGAGTGTTGAATGATTTTAACACGAGCAATTTCAAAGATGATGAGAAAATTGTCTCAGTTTAAGTGTACTCCAAGTGAACGGCTTAAAAAAAAAAAGGTTTTTATCAGCAATTTCACAACTCAGCTCTAAAAAAACCTGAATAAATTCATCATACAGACCCAGCTCTACTTGGCTTCAGTGTTGTTTAGACTGTGTAAGGAATGTAGAAATGAAGCAGTAAATATTTTCTTAAAGGAAAAAAAAACCCACAGACCTCACACTGACGTTCTTGCAGCTCTCTTGGGAGAGCAGGAGCATTTGACCTCTTTTTCATGAAATTTCCATCACAAACTTGTTTTGTCCTCCCTGCCCCTTATCCAAACCCATAAGAACCAGCCACAACTGAACCACTTAACTACACCCAGGAAGCAACACTCAAGGAATCACACTATCTCATTTTTTTTCCCATCACAAGAACACAGTCCCTCGAAGGCTGAAGTGGCCACACAGACAAGCAACAACCCCTAATTATATTTTCTTTGCTTCTGTAGGAAAAGGTTACTATGTGTTTTGCCTATAAAACAGAGAAAACCCACATATTTCTTAAAATACTCTGGTATATTTAGAAATTCATGTTACTGGGGGCCATCACATACTTGTAAAAAATTGATTGCAGTATTTTTAGACACAGTATGCCTCCTAACCCCATAACAACTCAGACGCTCCTTGAATTGGCCTAGGCACTGCTCTCATGGGTTATTGTGCATGCAATATAAGTTCTGTCACAAAATATAAAAACTCAAGGATAACTTTCTACTTACTGCTAGCTAGCCATTTAGTTTTTGATTAAAAAGTTTGACATTGCAAATTCAACCATAGGAAAAGCAAGCGGAAGCTTAGGGTGGGATGGGAAAGCTTTTCCCAGGCAAATGCTGATTCTGGAATTGTACATACAAAAAAAGTTGTGAACTTTGGATCTGAGCCAAACGTTTCCTCCTCCACCACCATAAATCCAGTTTTGCTCCCTGATACAAATATCCCAGTATGTTTTACAAAGCAGAAATTACAGGGAAAGGCAAAGGTAGTTTACCCTGATCTACATGTATCTATTTAATGTTATGCTTAAGTGCAGGCTTGAGACCTGAGACAGGAGAACAATAACAAATGTAGTGAGCAATTCACTTTTCTACCTGCAGCATTACTCCTGAGGAAAGGTCACCATGAATGAAACAAAAAGATGTCAAATGAGCATTAGTTTGCTAATGTGCAGTTCAAATATGTCCATTTGCAAATTAGTCTAGGGAATTTAGGATTTTGATGTTTTATGGTCAAGGATCACAAGGGCCATCATCTGATCTGAGTTCCTCCTTGTGCTCCCACAGAGCAGAGCTGAGACACTGAGATTTTAGATTCTTCTGTAAACTTATGCTAGCACAGAGAACTCTTGTGAGGGAGAGGTTTTTCCTTTAGTAATTCCATTTCAGATCTTTAAATCAGCAGGAAAAAAAGTAATGAAGAAATACAAAATGAAAATAAATCATTTTGTACCTGCTACTACAGTGGAATCAGCCATCACAAGGGGGTGTGAAAGGAAAGGGAAGGTAACCATTGCTCACACTGGAACCAACCAACCATGCTCCCCCTTGATTTTACAGCTCTGACACAGAGTTTAGTGCAGATCCAAGGTGTTGGAAGGGATTTGTCTTTCCAGCAGCAAGGAGCACAACACACATGCTAAGGGCTCGCCTTAGCTGGACAGCTGGCATCCAGTGAGGGTAACGACACCAGCAGCACTACAGACCTTCTCCTGCCCATGAAAGAGTCTGCCAAGGTTACCCACAGAGCACAACCTCCATGACACACTCTTCTTTGTGCCACAGACTCGAGGGTAAATTAATTACATTAGTTACATTTGATGAGTAAGATTTTTTTAAAAAACACATAGTATTACAGGCACGTTACTTCGTTTTAATGCTCAGTCTTGTTCAATATAGCAGAATCATTTGCCCAGCTGAATGTGGGAAGGACAGTTAAAAAAATCCACACGTAAAGCAACTCCTGGAACCCACAGCGTTGTAATCTTCCCAGAGGCTTTGCTTTATTGTGCTTTCTTCCTCTCCTATAAATGAAATTTCTTCTTTCT